TTCTATCACTTTGCCCACCACAATGCCGAACATTTCACAGTTACTTTCATCACGTTAACTTACTAGATTCTAGGTCAATTTTGGGGCGGGGAATAAGGGGTGTCTGGCAGACACACCCCACCATCAGATTTGTCTGACGGTGGTCATTCATAATAACTTTATACAATGAACATCTTACACAGTAAGTTTCATCAGGTTAACTCATTACCTAATCTAGGTCAATTCTGGTGGTAGGGAATAAGGGGATGTCTGGTGGGTACACCCCACCACTATAAATGTTCGGCAGTGGCCACTGGTACTATGCTAAACGATATGTTTCCTCGGGTTAACTCCACCACAAATGTTTGATGCTAAATTTTGATTTAATGCTGGGTAAGTTAAAAACAGACATTGCGTCCGAGTGGGACTCATTTAAAAATTCGAGGGGGTTCGCTAGAAAACAGGGGGGTTCGCTAGAAAAGGGGGGTTCGCCCGAACCATAAAAACCCCCCCTGGCTACGGGCCTGAAATCCCTATATTGTTGTGGATTTTATTCAATGTAAAATTTTATTCAATGTAAAATAGAAAGGTCTAGAATCATCTGCGTCATTAGGATTGCTGGCATTAGCTTTTATATCAGACGATTTATATCTTAGGTTTGTCGTCACTGTTTCAAGGATGCAGTAGTCCTCGTCGTCAGCAAAGTAATCTTCTGGTTGCTGTTGAACCTCATGGCCTGGTGCAAGCACAGGATCTTCGGGATAGGAGTATTCATGGTAATCCTCAAAAGAAGTATCCTCTGGTTGCTTTTGAGCTCTTTGATCTTGTGCATGCAAAGGATCATCTGGATACGAGTATTCATGGTAATCCTGCTCTATTTGAGCTCTACCATCATGAGTGGGATATCGAGCCTCTTCAGCATTCCGTGATACTACATTGGGAGTGTGACCAATTACTAAAAAATAGAATCATATGAAATACGATAACGGACCTTGTTTAAATTATTCATATTTTATTAAAATATCAACATCAAGGGCCTAGTACACCTGTCTCTTATACACATCTAGATGTGTATAAGAGACAGACTGACAGGGCCATCGTTTTAACTAAGTCAGAGCCCAAAATATAGCATCATATTTAATACGTTATCTGACATCATGAGAGAACCTAAACTTTAATACAATTATTTGTTATATACTAGGCCTAATTCAAAATTATTATTTTAAGACTTTAACATAATACATACTGATTAATAATAGCTGAGATTTGATGCACATTTTAGTATATCTTCC